GAAAGGAAAATCGCGTGTGAAGCGTTTGGGGAGCCGTTGGATAATTAAGAATTGAGCGAAAAAGGAGGAGGGGAGGAAATACGAGCACGAGGAAGAGAGGAGAGATGCTTCCTCGCATCGGAATATACCAGTTCCAGCAGCGCGGTCCACTTTGCGGTCGCAGACCGGCGGAGGGAAGAAGGGGAGGGCAATCGGTCACTGATTTGGTCAGATCCATAAGGAGCGTGCATAGCGAGGAGCATTAATGACCCGACAAGCATTCCTTGCCCAGATGCCCGATCCCCTCTCGCTTCGCCTTTCTCTCTCTCTCTCTCTCTCTCTCTGCGTCGATCCACCTCTCGCGTTTTCTCTTTTTCTTCACTCGCTCCCTCTCCCTCCTTCCTTCTTTTTCTCTCCCCTTTTACCGTCGTTCCGCTGCGTCGTCTGTCTCTTCCCTTCCGATGATTCTCTCTCTCTCTCTCTCTCTCTCTCTCTTCTCCTTTTCTTTCTCCTCCTTGGTTCTCTCCCGCTTCAGAAGTCTCGCGCGATCGCGTTGGGTGGTCTCTCTACTCTTACCGACTCTTGGTCCCATATAGCCGAGAGACGTGCGCACGTTCTACCATGTTCGGGACCTTCACGACAGACAAACCGAAAGCAAACCTTTATGCCCTTATACCTTAAACGCGAGACGTTCACGCACCGTGGATAGCTGGCCGCGCGACAAAGCGCGGGGGATCGCGTGGGAGGCCGAGGTAACCGAATGCGTCGCACCAACACTTTGCCACCTTTTCTCTCCCGTTTTTCATCGGATAAGAAACGGCGTTACGCCTCGAGATATATTTTCGGCAATCGAGTTGTTGTTGTTGATCGATCGCCTCGATCTCGTTCGAATTACATCGAATAACGTGCGATAATGGTGGAATTTGTTGTGTATCGTGGGAATTATTCGATTCGATACAACAGCTGTGTATTTTAATAATCTTCGTCGTTTTGATAGTTCGTTCGACAACGGTGATTCGCGTGACGAGGCGAATTAGCGTTCTCGGTTGAATGAAACTGCGGTATAAGTAAAAAAAAAAAAAAATAGAGGCAAAACTCTTAATTAATTACAAAGTTGGGTCGGCGGTGGTTATCTTCGTTTCCGGACAGCACGGTTGCAATGCCGAAAGATGCGCTCCCCGGCCCGTAACGCGTAATTGGCCGGGCTGTGAACGCGACATTAGATCCTCGTTATCCTAACGAGCTGAAATAGCGCGCGGCCCTCGAGAAGAGTGGCTCGATGAAAATTCTGCGCACACGATCGCACATCGGCCATCCGAGCAATCTGCCGCTCTTTTTGCTCCACCAAGATTTAGAGTGGTCGAAAAGGAATGAATCGGGCTATTAATCTGGCCGATTGTACGCCCGATGGACTTTGTTCTCGTTTCTTTAATAATACTCGCAATTCGCGATATTACGTTTCATCTGCCAACCATACGTTTCTCGTGATTAGAAATTAGATATATTCTCTCCCCCCCCCTTTCCTCTCTCTCTCTCTTTCTAATACGATCAACAAGGAAAACATGTCACGAGACGAAGGATACGTACGTACGTAGAGAACGATTACGTAGCGCGAGAATAGAAGTGAGATGAGATAAGGTAGACGGGATCCCGTATCGATAAATGTCAAACGCGAGAAAAGTGCGTAATGCATTGTCGAAGATCGGCTTGACGAAGCGATTGGTTTCGGTGTATGGATAACCGAGGAGGGCACAAGCCGAGGGATGCGGCATTAAACCGATCCAAGTGACATTTTACGGACAAAGAGTTTTCTTGCAACGTCCCCGATGTTCACGCACGCCAATAAAACGGTCGCCAACGTTCCCCGTCAAACGATTTTTCCCGCCGACAAAAACGATGCCAGCTACGATGCAACCGGTACCAATGACCCTAACGAGGCCCCTGTCTCGCCATGTTCGAACATCGAGTTTTCTTAACTTCCTACGTAAATCTTTCTACTAATTTTCGAATCCCTTACAAAACATTCGAGCCACGTTCTTGCCATGCCGCAGTTGACGTTTTTCCCTCCTCCCCTTACTTTATGACGAAACAATTATACGACGAGTATTATACTTTTTCACTCTCGAGTAATAATCGATCTTATATATCGCGAGACCATCCGATTTCCTTCCTTCCGTTTTCTCCTCGTGGAAATTCCAATTTAAAGTCAATTAAAATTGGACGAATCTCGATCCTCCAGATCCTCGCCAGAAATCTTTTAACGCTGGGGAGATGGGGAGGGAAAACGTCGCTACTCGTTACGACATAACTCATACGCGAGTTCTCTTTCGCGTCCATTGGCTGTGCTCGCGCGATGAGAGACACGCGTTCACAAAGCCTCTTTTACTCGCCACGTACGGGGTGATCTATTGGCGAGACATCTGCCGCCGTGTCGTCATAGAGACGACGCATTTACGGGGAGCTAAGTGGCCTTTACCCGCGCTTCCCGAAAGCGGCGCGATAAATTTCGCTTCGCCTCTCGCGCGGCCCGCCTCTAATTTGACGGGTTGGAGCTCGTTACTCTCGTTAGCGAGAGGAAATCGGAGGGCAGGGAGGCTAACCGTGGCGCGCTTTTGATCCACCCGTGGTGATCCAGGTGATCTCGAAAACAAATTTCATCTACCCTCGAACCTCGAAGTTGAAATTTCGTTTTCGATATTTCGATCTTTCGCGAAAGTGAATCGTCGATACTTAATTAATCGTTAACAATTTGATTATAAAGAATAAATCGCTCGAGGAGAATTTTTAACTCGTACGATATATTAGTTCGAGTTAACGTCGTTTCCCAATTTCTAGTTTGAAACGCGCCACAAAGTGGTAGTAGCGGAAGTAGCCGCGAGGTTACGTAATAGCTGATATTGTAATAAACATTCGGGCGAGGCGCCATTAATTGTGAACGTTCGCAAGGTGGTCGCGAACCGCGCAAGAAGGTGAAATTTAGTGAGCCACTGGTGGAAACGTAGAGACCCCTAATGGCCATTCCGATGACTATGGTTCTCGACCACACTGGCAGCTCCCTACCGCCATCCCCTTGGCTTCCTCTTAGGCCACCCTATCCGCTTCCACTCCAGGGGTTCCGACTCGTTTTCTCCACCACTGGCTGACGCTCTTCCTACTCTCTCTCTCTCTCTCTCCCTCCCTCTCTCTGCCTCGTATGTGCAACGATGTCCCGGCAATTACGCATCGTCGCAGTTAAATACAATGGCCAGGACAACGACTCTGTAATTTATCCCCGGTTTGGGCCACTATCCGTGCGTTTGTTTCCAACATTGGAAGAGAACACCGCCAACGTTTCGTTCCCTCTTTCTCCCCCCACGTCGGTGGCCGCCTCTCTCCAGGTTCTCACGCCGTTTTACCCCGCGAACGACCGCCAACCCCGTGCTCGCCGCGTTTAAATTAATGATAATTAATAATGGCGACTCGAGCATGGACGCCAGGGTTGAAATACGGGGGGGAGGGACTCGTGTCTCGGTGGATTTATCGGGAATATTAAAGGTAGAACCGTTTCGTCGAACGAATTGACATACGTCCTTCTGGAAATCGACGCTTATCGATAATCGAGAGCGTGCCTCAGGATTGATATAGAGTGATAAATGTGATGATGGTGTAAGGGGAATGACGGTTTACGAATAAATGTCGTGAGAAAAAGTTGGGATGGGGCAGGAATATTTTATGCGAAATGGAGAGGAAAAAGGATCGGTGAAATCGAATTTAACTTTTGTACTCGAAAATAGTATCGTGGCACGCAATTACAACGGGGTTCGCGATAGAATTACCAATTAGGGATCGTCACGTTCACAAATACAATGGCTAACGAGAACGACTCGGTAATTTATCCCCAGTTTCGGCCATCGTTCGCCTGTATATATATATATATATATATACATATATCTGTGTGTCGTGGTTGTGGATGTTGAACCTCATCACCGGCGTTGCGTTTCAAATTAATGACAATTAATAACATTCAACTTGTCCCTTTTATTCGACATCGGCTGTATATATAAATTTTTCTTCAACTAAATGGTTTCTGCTTTTAATAAATCTCGAAAAAAATATTCTTGCAGCCAGTTTAATAATAGGAAAAGAAAAATCTTTTAACGACGGATTGGCCAATTTTTCTACATTCGATTCGAATGTTTATTCTTCTTAAATTATTCATTTCAATTGGAAACGTGAAATTTTATTATTAGATTTTCTATTAGGAATCTCATTCTTTGTATTCTTCTCCCTTCTTATATAATTAAAAACCTGAAGGTAAATATATATATAAAATCCTGAAAACAAGTGAATAATTCCTTAAACGTTTTCACTCGTTTCGAATATTCTCCACTTTCGTAAATCTGTTGGCGATCAGCCACAGTGCATTGCATCGTATGCTAACAGGTGCATATATCGCTTATCCGATGTCGATCGGCAGCGACATGTGCGCGAATGCGTTTGAACTAGTCGCGCACTGTCATCCTCGCCACGTTCCATTTGTCGGTCCCGCTCGGAATACCGGGTGGCTCGTTAATTTAGGATCAATTATCGCGTCACGCCGCGTCACCGAGAACGAGGCGTGTCCTAGTGGGATCAGTGTGTACAGACACGACCCTTCTCTTCCACGGTGCGCATACTTTTCAGCCACGTAAATTTTACTAATTACGTAGTTGCGTAGCTTTCGTTTCGAAATCGTCCATAAACGATCCTCCTTTCCCTATCTCGTTTATTTTCCTTTTTTTCTTAATCATTGTCGAACGATAAACAAAATTCCATCGATCGAGATGGAATATTAATTGTTGGACGAGAACAATTATTCCCGGATATTCGAGGAGAAATTTTTCTCGTTATTATTAATATAAATGAAATTTACGATCGAAAAAATCCCAGATTCGTTTTATTTTTTTTCTTTCTCTTCCTCTTCTTTGCTGCTTGTAAATCGAAGAAAGAATCGCGTTAAGATATTCAGGAGTAGGAGAGGAGAATAATGTGGAAAGAGCATATATTTTTAATTCGATTTAATCGGTGGCAACATGTAAGCGGGTTACATAGATTATATCGACCACTGTATTGTGAGACACTGGTATATACGCATACTTTCCAAGTCTGTCTACACGGCTATAATATATGTATATAGTATATGTATATAAAGATCTACTATATATATATATATATACGTAATTAGGAATATACAATGTGAGATCTTTTCGTATTCACGCGACCGTGTGCAGCTCCATACATACGCAATAATATAATCTTTCGCGCGGCAATTAAAGATTATCTTGTATCATACATATACACATTAACGACCGTACATTCGTATTTACAATTATATACAAAGAAAATAAATAATTTAAACGTCTAATCGATAATGATCGTACTCCGCGAACTCGTGTGTACTTACTAGAATCGTATCTATGCTGATATGCATATAGTCGATAAATATAATGGGTTCAGTCTGCGGCTATGACGATCGTACAAAATAACGAACGTCGAACTTTCCGCTTCCTCTCTCTTCTCTCTCTCTCTCTCTCTCTCTTTCCAATCTACAAATCGCCCGAGATTTTACTCGTGATTCGAGATTCATTGCTGCTTATTTATCGTTAAACTAATCGTAAAAAAGAAAATTATTTGGTAATCGCTAGTAATGCAGCTAAGAAGTAGACCAAGATCTTATCGCGTCGATCGGTAAATGTCGAAAACCAGTTAAAATATCGTTAAACACGCGTTTTCTACCTCCATTCTAGCCCAAGTTTCCAAGTTTTTCGACAATCATCGTGATTCCTTCTTTAATTATTTTGATCAGTTTGGAAATGAAAGTTTCTCTCAGGATTCGCGACCATGATTGTCTTGGTCGATTAATGCGAATGATTGTTTCCAGTCACGATTTCCTCCCCATCCTCGTCAACGGGGACCGTCGAGTGATTGTACAGGCCTTGGGCCATCAATTGTAGAGCGAGCGGATTTTTCTGCCCGCTCGCCTTTTTGATTTTTGCTCTTTTGTTTTGGAACCAGATCTTGATCTGCGCCTCGTTCAATCCCAGATCTCTCGAGAGTTGTTGCCTCCTTCTCTCGGTCAGGTATCGATTTTCCGCGAATTCCCTCTTCAATCTTGCCAGTTGTTCCGCGCTGAACGCTGTTCTTGGCCGCTTCTCTTCCGGCGAGCCATTCTTCCCGTTGTGCGACCGTTTCACCCGTCTCGTTCGCGGTCCTGCAAACCATCGATTAATTGCATCGATTAATCTACAATTATATCCTGAACCTGCAACGGAACGATTGCAGATTCAATTTTCATCGGATAGTAAATAAGGTGGGAATTAAGCATATATAATGAATTTCGAACACGTATCACGCTCGAATTCGCGCTGCGCGGCCATCATCCGTAAATCCTATTCCAAGCGAGCGATGTAATCGCGTGATGAAAAGCTCGAGCATTCATCAAACTAGTAATCTATCAATAAAATCTTGGCTAATAATTCTTCGCGCGATTACAGTTAAATAACAGTTAATTGTAATAAAATTGACGTCGACATTCTATCCCTTCGATTATCTCTTCATATTGCAACGTGTGAAAGTTACAACTTACTTATCGCGTCACATTATCGCGTTTTCGTGACTTTTATAAGTAACTATTTAAACCGCACGTCGTTTATGAATATTCATAAAGCGACGTATCATAAAATCTCGCGTTAATCTCTTATAATTTCTAGCAAAACAAATCGCCCGAACATCAACGTATCAGCAACAAATTACAAATGTTTCCAAATCGTTTCTTCGATCTTAAATGAATTCATCGAATTCCTCTCCTTTTCATTTTAAAAAAAAAAAATTGTCCAAAATTAATTCTATCTCTATACGCATTTCCAGCTAAAATTACCCGATTAAGATCCATCCATCGATCGCCCTTCAACGCCCTTTAATTACCCATGGAGAGAGAGAGAGAGAGAGAGAGAGAGAGAGAGAGAGAGAGAGAGAGAGAGAGAGACGT